GGTGAGTTCACCCCCTTGCTTTACGAACCCTCGCTTTGACAGTCATGCTTGAGGATCCAATCCATCCGCTTTTCTTCGATGCAGGAAGAGTTGTGGCGAGTGTTTTTCGATCCGCTGGGGCAGGAGATAAGCGACGAGTTTGCAATGCGATATGGCATTGAAAGCATCTTCCAGGCTATGACGTAAGTGGCGAGTAAATGCATGCGAATGCCCTCCTTGCAAACATCACCTCCATCCTCTCCGTCCACTTCACTCTTGCACATGAAGGTTGGGGCATCTTCAAATGCCTGTTTGAGGGTTGATGGGCTGAAGTTTGACGCGCTGTAGAACCAGTGGTTTGCAGTGCCCTTGTTGATGCTTGAATGTGCCACTGACAGCCTAAGAAAGGTGGTGGCAAGCGGAATAGAGATTCCGTAGAGTTATGATGCATCATCGCAAATGGGGCAGCAAGTCCCCTCTCAGCATGGAAATGCGATTTCTTTTGGGATAGTTGGAGATTTATTTTGAGAATGTCGTTTGAATCAGCATCAGCCTCTCCTCCTCCCGATAGCCATTTTGCGTGCCTTACAACCAAGTACAACTGCGTCGGTGTGCCTGCCCAACTGTCGACACTGCTGGCCAACATCAATGCCTTCTACGCACACACCAGCTCCAACAACAGTCAAACCGCCTCAGAGCGATTTGCTGCCAGCAATTTTGGGGTAAATCTTGATGGCACTGCTGCCTTTTTAACCAGTGATGAAGCCAACTTCACACCTCCTTTATGCTACTGTGCTAAGCTCATCAAAGGGTTATCTAGATGTTCCATAGCCAGTCATTGAATGACTTGGATCGACTCCTTCACCTGTAAGCATTTCAGTAGTATATTCGAGTTCTATAACCTGTGCTTTACTAGTAATCCCGATCGAACTGGCAAAGTGTCGTCCACTTTTGTATAGGCTAAATTATTAAACAAAGAGTATGTTTCTACATTGTTGTGTCAATAGGAGTCCAGTCCAGGGTAAATGCGTCTATTAATCTCCTTTCACTTTTGCCTTTCCTTTCAGAGGGAGAAATTTGTCAAGATCCTTGACAATCTGCACAATGCACTTCGAATTGACCTCTCCAAATACCGAGTAGGTTTGAAAATGCAGGCATTTATTAAAGGCCTCATCATTTCATTGCCTCCAACTGTCCGTGTGCGGCAGTGTTTCCTCTGCTAGTCGTTGTGCAGTTAGGAATGAAAGAGCCCACTTTAATTCACCTCCACTGATGTTGTGCTTCCCTCTTGGCCGGTTTCAGTTCAGAGTCACTGGGTGGATGCATTAGATCGTACCTGCTGTAAACTGCGGTTCATGCACGTAGCTTTGAGCCTCTCTATATTCCAACTAAATGGGGTCAGGGATCTCCAGCAATACCCCACACAATGAAACGGGCTTGAAAGTGGTCCCTTTCCTTTTATTTAGACAATATTTCCCGCTTCGCAACCGGAACGGCTTGCGGACATGAAGTGCACCGTCGACGTTCTAACCAGCATCACATTCTTTCGCCTTAAGGTGAGTGAGGAACCCCTGAAGCGCTTTTCCTCAGATTTTTCACCAATCCTTGCAGTCGAGGCCTTGAGTTAGGTAGTATTGAGTTGCTGATGGCTACAACTGTTGCTGCCTTGTTGAAGTCAAAGGTAGCAGGTTCACTTGACTTGCAAGGGTGTTACCATTGCTGTCGAGTAAGCAGTTGCATTGTCTGTGGTTTCAGGTGCAGGAATTGGCAGCTCCACCACGAACCCTTCAAGTACTGCGCGAGTGCATTCGCGCTTGCATGAAGGCCACCTACGAGTGCCTCTCCGACAATGTGCAAGCTCTCTACGGTGGAAACTTCCAGGCATGCCGGTTTGCGACCGCACTGCTTACTACTCACTTTACTCGAGCCTACCTCCACAAAATCAGTGGGAAATGGCTTTCAGTTTTAATAACCACTGAGCAGCTAGTTGGACTTGAGAGGTTTAATTGTACAGGGTGCCACCGTTGAAGGTGTCCATCGCTACTCCCTGCAACTTCTCGTCAAATCCCCATACACTTTGCTTAAAAAGGGAGAATAACCTTGCCTATTGACCATTTTAAACCGTCAATTCGCATTTAATGGAAAGAAAGCTCTCGGAAATAAATAAGTTATTTTGCTTACACACCCGAGAGGACAAAATGATTTCCGTTTTCTGTCATAGAATGACAGTGCACACGCTTCCGCGTTGTCGAGCAGCGAGAAGTCGTCGGCTGAGTCGCAGAGCGATATTGACCCGGTGTTGGGAGTCAGGTCACTCTCCTACTGGCACAAACTGATCTCGCTCATGGTCTCTGTGATTGAAGATGACCGAAAGCACTATGCGCCTGTGCTCAATCAGTAAGGTTCCCCTTTAGTTCCCTTCAGTGGTAGCCAAATTCAAAGCATGATTATTGATGCCTTGCTTGGCAAAACGATTCCACCCCTTTGCTAGCATAAATGACCAAAGTCCGCTCCTGTTTAAAAAAATACGACACATTCAGTAATGCTTGAGGGTAGTAATGAGGGTTTTGAACATGCGGTTGCAGGTTCCCACAGGACATCAACCTGGGCGACCTCTCTGCCGAGATGATGTGGAATCTGTTGGCAGAGGACATCTCCGTCGGCTTGACGCAACACTACGAGGCGGTACTTCGACGTCTTACTGACAC